CATGTTCTTTTTGCATTCATCTTCATTCCAAAACTGTGACATCAAAATATGATACTAGGAAAAGGGATTCATGCTTTATTTCTGCTTTCCACAGAAATTGGCTCCAGGGCCAAACATCTACTATTGCTCAGCAGAGAGAAAATAATACCCTAGAGTAGGTAACAGCAGTATGGTGGTATCTGTGATACTGCAAAACTTCATCACTTCCTGACCTTGTATAAAAGATACAACTCTGATTTAAGTCACTCAAAAAGAGGATTTGACCCAGTCTATACTTCATCTGTAGAAATGTTTATTGAGCTGCTGATGTGTGCAGTGAAGCTGTCAGTCACCCTGCAGGACAGCTTACACTGTTGTGTGCCAGCAGGTGCAGCACCCACTGCCACAGCCGTGCCCGTCTTGGTGCACCCCCTGTGATGGGCAGTGCCGTTCCTCCGTCTTTGCCTCTGCCCCTTCGTTGTGTTCTGTCCTGCCACAGAGCCACCTGCTGTGTGCTGGCAGAGTGCTGCCCAACTGCCCTGCCTGGGTTTGCTGCCTGCAAAACTGTGCCTGCACCTCTGCTCCAGCACTCTGTTCATTCACTGCTCCTGAGCGTACCCAGGCTCTTCCCCAAGGCTGTGCTTTCTTCCAGAAGAAGTCGTTCTTTGACTTGTGCCTTTGTTTGCTTTCAGGGCCGCTGGGCTTGCGCACGCTGGGCGTCAAGCGGGCAGGGCAGAGGAGTCCTCTCCACGATCCTTTTGAGGAAGGAGCTCTGGTTCTGTACGAGCCCCCGCTGCTGAGTGCCCATGACCAGCTAAAAATAGACAAGTGAGTCATCACCTGGCAGAAGTGCTTCGACTCTGACCTCCTTGTGTGTGTAGGTTTATGTACTTCCTGCCCAACTGTGCCTGAGTTGGGATCTGAAACTCAAGGGAAGTTTGGTTCCAAGTATTTTGCCTCTGCATTGGTTCAGGTGTAGTAGCAATCAAAGGAGGAGCATACCTGTGCCAGATTGTTTGTGCTCCTCCACAGGCTGTTTCATTTCCCACTCATCAAAAATCTAAACCTGTTTCAGGGAATGAGGATGCACCCAGGGAGTAGCTGCTTAGAAAATCTTGTGGCTTAGTTGTTCATAAGGAAACATCAGCATTGAGGAACAAGCAGAGGGAGATGACTGACAGTCAAATGTTAGGCTGTCTAATTGTTTCTGTTCTGAAGTAGTACTTTTTGTGCTACTTTCATAACTTAAAAGGGCTGTCAGCTGGGTCTTCACAGACAGGGGAAGGGGTTCCTCTCTCCAGTAATGCAGTTACAATATTGTTATTGAAAGATGGAAAATAGTAATGACTATAACTGTGTATCAGACTGCATTCTGCCCTTGTTTTAACTACAGCCTGAATATGTGGTTTCAGTGATGTGTAAGACTGTAGATTAAGCGCCTGTGACTTCATTCTCAAAACTGAATTAATCCATTTTTCACTTTCTTGTTGGCAGTCACTTCCCTCATGCCACTGGGGAGTCCTCAGTATAGCAGTGAGATTTAAAAAAACCCTAAACATATGCTGTGCTGAGTTCATTAATCACACTTGTCTTCTTCCTTGGCTGCCTCCTGCAGGGACAAAGCACCTGTCCATGTTGTGGTGGATCCTGTCCTCAGCCGTGTTTTACGGCCCCATCAGAGAGAAGTAAGTTTGCCATCGGGACCTGAGGGTATGGATGGAGGACTCGGTGCATTTCAAAAAGCTGCAGTTCCTCTGTTGGAATTGTTACCCACCAGCTGTGAGATCTACATAGACCTCACAGACTAACAGTCTGTGACAGTCTACCAGACTCTGTTCTGTTGCAAATGCAAAGTGAAATGTTTGGTTTAACCGTCTTCATACCAGGTCAAATGCTGCAAATATTTTCTGTCCCCTATTAAGCAAGAGGATGTGCTGGGAGTATTACAGTGCTCCTGTTTGTCCTTTAAAGTTCTTGTGGGTAAGAACTTTCTCTTCTCTTACCTCTGGTTGAGCAGGGTCAGAGCACTCCCAGCCTAAACATGATGCTGCCTAATGTGCAGGTAGGTTCTCTGTGGGGTTGTAGGTTGAGTCAGCTAACAGTAGAAACTAGGGAGTTTCTGTGACCATTGTGCACTGGTTGCACAGGTCTAGGGAAGCACATTGCTTGACTTTCATGTCACTGGTGACACACTTCCTTAGGAGAAGACCAGATTCTGCAGGGAGATGGGATCTTGCAGAGCCAGGGCTGAAAGTCCAGCCTTTACTTATCTTGAAGTCTGGGGATGAAGTCTGCTGCTGAGTGGAACTCGGTGTGCAAGGTGTTTGCAATAAATTATGTTGCAGCTCAGTCTCGAGTTGGGCAGGGCAGACTGTCCACCACTGTGCTTTGCTGGTCAGCAGAATTAATTGGATCTGCAGTCTCTGAGCCAGGAAACACTGAAGCTTTTCTTTCTGGTACCACAATTCCCAGCACAGCATGGAGTATATTCCTTCTTCATTGTGTTTTATTTGGAGGTGACCTTTGTAGGTGTGAGCTGTCCGTGATCTATGTAGACTTGGAATTTGACAGTGGAGAGTGCCCAAAACATTTCTATGTTTGTAAATATGTGCAACATCACAGTATCAAAGTGGTGGGTACTAATCTCTGGGTATCGAGTGTAGGTATCTGTACAGTTTGAAGTTCATCACAGATGCAGTATATTATCATTTAAGCCTTGAGGCAGCACAGATGGAAGCTGTGGTTGCTGATCTTGCAGGATAAGCAGGTCAAGCTGGATGTGTCCCTGCATGGGAGATCTTGAGACAGCTCTGAGAGCACTGTAGGCTGCTCCTAGCTTGTTCTTTTATCTCTGACTTGGTACTGAACCCATGACCCAGCGTAACGCTTGTCTCTGGCTACATAGCTGGAGGCACTCTGGTTTTGGGTAATATACTGCCTGCTGGTGCTTTTGTCAAGTAATGATAGGTATGTTTCTGTCCTAGGCACGCTTTTTAGACAGATAGCTCTGATAAGGCAGCCTCTGACTAACAAGTCTTTGCCTGCTGAGATTCCTGTGCTGCTTTATTCAAGTGATGCTCCCAGACCACTGTACAGTGTCACTTTGTCATATCTTTTGCCCGGTTGCTGGGAGGTTACCCAGCTGGACCCCCAGCCAAAGGCACTCTTCTTGTCAGTAATGTATTTCATAGTTGTTCAACTGGCTCAAGTAAACTTTATTAACCTGTTGTTAAGGGCCTAAGAAAGAAAGAAAAGGACTTGAAAAGTGCATGTGAAGGGATTCCATCTTCCAGTCCTAAACAGTGGAGTGCAGAGGGGTGAATCCCTCCAGGTCTGTTTAGGCTGGGCCCCTCGCTTCCTGTTTTGTTGATGCAATGCAGGGAGCTTGTACCTTCCCAGCACAACACTGGTTTTCTCTAACTTTGTATCATCACATGATGGAGGAACATTTTGCAGTCTGTCTCTTTTTTTTTTTTTTTTTCCCCTTTTATCTGTCTTGGTGATGTGCCTGAGCCTAACACAGGGCTGAGCTCTTCTCCTGCCATGTGACATGGGCTATAACCTCAGCCCTGTGTCTTCTCTGAAGCTAAATCTGCTTTGGACCTTGAGTCTCCAGGTGAGTCATTGCGTTTCTAGGCAGAAACTGAGGGCTGCTGAGGGTATTCTGGGAGTTAATCAGGCAGCAGAAACAATTCTGCTCACTCTGACTCTTTGTTTTTAAAACTACCTGACTGGGTGTTGTTAAGGTGATTAATCTCTTTGCACTGATTGATGCAGGGTAGCTGATGGTCTGGGCCCATCTGATACAGCCATGGGTAGAAATTTCTGCCAGGAATTCACGTCAGGAAGCTGGTTATAATTGTACAGTTAAAATCTAGTAAGATTTTGTGCGTGTTACTGGTGCATGGCACCAGTAACATTGTTCCAAACCAGATGTGTTTGCATTCCAGCTGCATCTTGGGTCATTTCCCTCTGTCTCATTAGAGCATTGCATGTCCCCAGAGATGTGCTGCACAGATTTGCTTTTTCTTGTAGTGTGAGTCCTTTGCATTGTGGTAATGAAGCTGTAATGAAGTTGTCATTCTTCTATTGTCCCCACCTGCTCTGAGAGAACAATTTTTTTGGCAGGGAGTGAAATTCCTCTGGGAATGTGTGACGAGCCGACGGATCCCTGGGAGTCACGGCTGTATCATGGCAGACGAAATGGGGCTGGGCAAAACCCTGCAGTGCATCACGCTCATGTGGACTCTTCTCCGGCAAAGTCCAGACTGCAAGCCTGAAATCGAGAAGGCCATGGTGGTGTCTCCCTCCAGCCTGGTGAGGAACTGGTACAATGAAGTGGAGAAATGGCTGGGGGGAAGGATCCAGCCGCTGGCCATTGATGGAGGCTCCAAGGAAGAGATTGACCGTAAGCTAGGTACAGAAATGTTTGCAGTCGGTGCGGTTGGCTGGCTTAGGTCGAAGTCTTGCCTTGGCAGAAGCCTGCGGCAGCTGATGTGAACTGCTCTGAGCTGTCATGAGAGCTCTGGAGGCTGATGAAAGTCTCTCCACTAACCTGTTTAGATCAGGCCCTTGCACGCTGGGTGATAGCTGGCATTTGGGAATAATCCAAGTCTGGTCATGTGTGTAAGTTAGGGCTATCCCAGTGCCTCTTCTTTGCTCCAGCCAGAAGCCAGGAAGCGAGTGGTCAAAGGTGGGAGGGGGATGGAAATGGGGGCAGCTGTGGGGAAAGTTGTGGGTATACATGGGTGAAAGGGGTGCAACAGAGTAATTGAAACAGACAAGTCTTCCTAGATTTTTAAGGCAAAAGTTCTGACTGCAGAGCTTCTATTTGTTTTCCTCATCCCTCTTTTTTTCCTTTTCCCCCTTTCCCTCTGCAGTTGGGTTTATGAACCAGCGTGGCCTGCGAGTGCCGTCACCCATCCTGATCATCTCCTATGAGACCTTCCGACTCCATGCTGAGGTGTTACGGAAGGGCAGTGTTGGCCTGGTCATATGTGATGAGGTACAGGGGAATCTTTGAAGAGAATCTGTCCCTGATATTTCCTTGAGATCTGGGCAAAACTGGTTCTGCTTTCTTCATAGGGAGCAAGGACAGCAGAAAACAAGGTTTAGCTGTGGACAGCACCCATCCTGGTGTTTGAGAGATTCTGGGTAACCAGCTCTCCCCTACTGGGTGAGCCCGAAGAAGAGAGGGTGTGTTCACGAGCTGAGATGTGTAGAAAAAACAGGTAGTGGTAACTGTGGCCACTCTGTAGGTCCCTGGCAGGGTGGAAGCTCCTACTAGGGCCCTCTCAGTGTGAAATACATAGCAGAAGGTAGATCCACTGCCTGTCTTTGACTCTGAAGAGGCCTTACTCTATGAGGAATGTAGTGCCCTGTCTTACTGATCTGGTTCTCATTTTTGTCTGTCTTTGGCCTGTCCTTATGTTCTGCTTGGTGATTTTTAACTTGTCTGTGTTTTGACCAAGAGATGTTGGACTGGGAACTCCTGAGGTTTCTCCTAACCTTATTGTTCTGTGATTTAGCATGCTCTTGTTGGTTGCTGTCAGGCACTTTATCTGGCTGTCTTACTCTCTGCTTGTGGGTGAGTTTAAAGGGCACTCCTGTGGCAGGACCCTCATCCCCTCTGTATTCTGCTGCTTGGGGCAGAGGTGGGAGAGCTGGGTGAGGAATTGCTTCATGTGCTGCTTGTTCAAGAGGAGACAGACCTGGCTTGACTCCCTGCTTGATGTCAAGCTCTGCTTTCACTTATCTATTTGTGATTGTAGGTCACGAGTGGCAGAGATGCTCTGAAGGACAAAATAAACCAAATACCCTTTGCCTCCTTGAAACGATCAAGCTGGGGGCCCCAGCCACTGTTGAGGTGTCCTCTGCCGCTGGCTGGAGGGCATTTGTTAAATAGCGCTGCCACCCAGTGGTGTGGGGTTGTATTTGCTAGAGCAGTGCTGAGAGGAGCTTAAAAAGAGAGCATCCTCACAAGTGTGATTCTCCACCACCTTTGGGAGGCCGTGACTGCCCCACACCTCTCAGTGTCCCCAGGATGGGGCCAGCAGCTAGGGACACTGGGAATGCAAGTCCTTGGCCGTGTCTTCCCTGTGTTCCCAATAAGTACTCAGCTCTGTAGTGGTCTGGCACTTGCAGAAAGCATCTCATCACTTGGGCTTTGTCCTACAGCATGGCACTCAGATGCTAATAAAGTTGCTTTCCCCAGGCATGGGAAGTGGGGCCTGTATTCAGATTATCCCTGTAAGAGGTGCAGAATCTCTTTTTATTAGTGTGCAATCCTGGCTATAGGCTTGAGATCTTGACCTTGGCTGATGCAGTGTTACTGGTCCAGAGTTCAGTGCCTAGTGTTAGTAGCTGCGTCACCATCTTCAAACAGGAAACAATTCTTATTGTTAGACCATATGGTGGTAGTTGTTTTCATGGTAGGCCCTCTTGCCTGGGTGTGACTGGGATCTTCCTGGTCTGGGAAGCTTGTAGTGTCACATTTCCTCACACAATGGCTTTGGGTTTCCCACCAGATTCTTGCTTTGAAAGAAATCTATTGCAACGTTTGAATATACTACAATGCTTAGTTCACTGCCAGGAATGGGAAGAGTGGTGAGATACCTTGTGGGGAGATACAGCATGTCAGTGTTGATGAGGATCTCCAAGCTGCTTCCCATCAGAGATCAGAGCTGCTGGATTTATCATCTTCATTCCTTTTTTCTTTTTTTTTTTTTTTTTTTTTCAAAGGGCCATAGACTGAAGAACTCTGAAAACCAAACATACCAGGCTCTCAACAGCTTAAATACACCTCGCCGAGTCCTTATCTCGGGCACCCCCATCCAGAACGACCTGCTGGAGTATTTCAGCCTGGTGCACTTCGTCAATTCAGGCATCCTGGGTAAGAGGTGAATGTGAGTGGAGATGTGAGGGAGGGGAAGTTGCTTGCAAGGCATCCCCCAGCTACCAGTGCCAGCAAAAGCACCAACTAAGGCATTAGTGAGAGGAAAGGTCCTGTACAGGTTGGGAGCTCATGTACAGGTTGGAGATTTATTCTGCTGCATGTAACTAGAAAGTTACATCAGATTCCTCTGTTCTAGAGACATTATATAATTTGAACTCTGTTTCAAGATTGTAATTAAAAGTACACCAGTCTTAACAGGTATTTTGGAAGGGGAATTAAGGCAAAATGAATACAAGACCTTGAGTACTATGTGGCTGTTCTTGAATAGCTACACTGGTCAGCTGAAATATCCACTAGGCTAGGAGTTTCTCTGCCAATAAGCCCTTGGATATAATGCAGGAGTTGCTGGGCAGGAAGAGCCAGCTTGTAATGGTATTTCTTACAACACTCTCAGGCTATGGTGGGCTCAGAAATTTAAGCCAGGAACAATGTGTTTGCAGGAGAGGCTCCATGGAGAGGAGGATTTGACATGACATGCTCTCTGCGCTGAGTACAGAGGCAGCTGGGTGACAGCTTTTCCCTGCTCTCCAATATCCATCTGGCAGAGGAGGTTGAAGTGACTGGTGCAGGGTGAAATGATGTGCCTTGTGGCAGGGTTGAACAACAAAGCCCAGGTTTCTGGCAGGCTGCCATCCCACCTTCAGATAATCTGAGAGAAAGCTGAGGGTGATGTCTGGCATTTGGAGTTAAGACTGCTCTTGCTTTTTAAGCCAAAGGAGGTGTGTGAATATGGGGTTACTTCTGAGAGAAGAATAGCATCTCGAGGAGAGATTAGTGTGAATTTTCAGCATCAAACCCCTTTTACAATTGCTGGTGGCAGACTAATATTCTCTGACTCCTGTGTTCTGCTTATGTCTGCAAGCTCAGTTTTCATTTTAAAAGCAAGGTAGTCTATGCATCTTCTGCATTGCTGGGTTGGGAGCAGGTTTGCTGCTTTCCAGTGTGGAGCAGCTTGGCTTTGTCAAGAGAGGTAATTTTTTCTGTCAAGGAATGAAAATAAACCAATCTGTAAATCATTTCCTTGTTGCTGTAACTCGTCAGCCTTGTTTGTCTCGGATTGTTTGGCATCCAGTCCAAGAGGCTTCTCATTAATTCTAGTGCATGCACAACTCTGGTTAAACACCATTAATCAGATTCATGGTCTTACAAGCAACATTTGGGCCCTATCTTTGTGTTCAGCTGTTCTTTCCCCAGGATTTCTCAAGGAAAGGATGTGATGGGGTGGTAGATGTTCTACATCTGCTTTTCCCATGTGCTTCAGTTTTGGGTAGTTATTACTGGGAGATGATGTGATTTCTCCTGTTTCCCTTGACCTGTACTTTGGGCAAGACTGGTCTCCATGTACATCGGGTTTGTTCTCTCTGAGGTGAGGTTAATACTGTAGCTACAGCCATCAAAGCTGCTTGCATCCAGTTGCAATTTTTCCCACTTTCAGCCTGTGACCAGTAATAAGCAACTGATTACTGATAATTTTGGAACAGGGACACGTAATGCCTTGTTGTTTGCAAGGCCAGAAGCTGGGAGTAAAAGTGTAGCTGGAATGTGAGCAAAACCGGTACATGCCTGACTGCACTCAGGTTTAATTAAAATTATCTGACCTTTGGCAGTGCACTGCTGTTGGAGAACAAAATGATTTTCTGTTGTACAGATTTGCCTGCTTTGCTTGGATCTTTCCTGGCTAGGAAGGAAAACAAATCATACTGATGGGACGAGAGTTTGTTTTATCTGTCAGGCCTCATGCTTGTGGTGTGATAGTTGGGGCTGCGGGCTACTGATCAAAGGTTATGTGGTGATTGTCACCTTTTCACTTCTGTTGTGCTTAGGGACTGCACAGGAATTTAAAAGACATTTTGAAATCCCCATCTTGAAAGGCAGAGATGCGGATGCAAGTGAAGCTGAGCGACACAAAGGAGAAGAGAGGCTTAAAGAGCTGATCAGCATTGTGAACAGGTGAGCTTCATCCCTCTTCTCTGCGCAGAGCTTTTGCATAAACCCTCTGTGAACACGGCTATCTTTCCAAATTACAGTTGTAGCTGTGATGAATTCTCTGGCCAGTTACATCTATTCAGCAAGTGATTGTGGAAGAATTTATTGCCTAATAAATCTACAATGCATGTAGCTTTAGACTGGAAAACAGCACGTCAACACGGCACAGTTAGCTGCAGTCACCCCCAAGCAATTGTACTCGGGTGCTGAAGCCTGGTGTGGCTCTTAGGTTTCTGTTTTCTCCTGGGATTTGAATAGTCAGGCAGCACCCTTTAATTTCTTACACATAACATCAGAATAGACTGGGCCCACTTGAGATCCATCCAGCCCAGGTGCTGAGTGGCAGACGGTATAAGGAACGTCTCTCAGTCCCACTGTTGATTGTCCAAGTCACAGAAGAATCCAGCTCACACTTTCAGAGCTGTGTTGGCTCTGTAGGGCTGATGGGATTAGGCTGCTAGTGTCAAAGATGTGACTTTTGATCCCCAAGAAGCATCTCTGTGATGTAAAATGCCATCTTATTTCTCTTTGGTTGATTTTTAGTATTTTTTTTTTTTAGACCTGGCTTCTTTTGTGTTCACGAGTATGGCAAATTTGTCCATGTCTGCTGACAATCACTTGTCTCTCTCTGAAAACTCTTACTAGATTTTGGATTCACAGCATTGCTGGTAGCTTCATTTAGTTTTCTATTTTTTTTTTTTTTTTAATCTGAGCTTTTTTCAACCATCGCAAATACAATCCTGCAATTCATAGCCATAGTAAACTGAATTTCACACTGAGTACAGCCTCTATGGAGACAGCCCTGACCTTGACTCAGGTCAGCTTGCAGAAGCCTAGGAGAAAGGAAAAGTTAGGAGGAGAAGAGCTAATTCCTTCTTGAGGTGCATTTATTTCTCCTTATAGTTGATGGAAAAGGGGTGTAAAAGTGTGTTCAGGAATGCTCGTGCCTGGCTGTGTGGAAGTCTGTGTCCTTTCCTTTGTTGTTCAACAGTCATACACAAGCAGGGAAGATGAAGCACATAAGTATTAACAAATGAATTGGTCGAATTTGGTAGGAATTACAAATGAGACAGTGATGCAAAGATGTGGAATCATGGTCGTAAGGCTTGAAGGGCCTTGCAGAAGTTGTCTAATCCATCTTGCTGTCCTAAGGTAGAAGGTGTTAGATCTAAACTAACCCTTATTTAATCCCCACCCAGCACTGAAGAGCTTACAAATTCCCCAGGACACCTTTTCCAGGGCATCGCCGTCTTTGCAGTTAGAAAATGCGCTTAATGTGTAACATAAATCTTCCTTACTGCAGCTTAAGCCTGTAACTTTTCATCCTACTGCTTATGAGTTTGGAGACCAGATTATTCCTTTCTTTAACAGCCTTTGACAGATTTTGGGGCTGTCATATATCTCTGTTGCCTTTCTTCTGTAGGTTTCATAACATCATATTTTCTGTGTTTCCTGGCAGAACTGGGTTTCTGCACTTCTTTATTATTCTGGTTGCTCGCTTCAGCTCTTTTTCATCTCATCTTTTCTGAAGTGTGGTAGAACTGCTCCATGGGGCATTTCTAGAAACCCAAAGGATATGCCATTTGCTGAAATCTTAGGCCAGACAATGAGCTCATCGTGGCTTCTGAGTTATTACTTGGGGAACTGCTTGTTTGTACTGTGAGTTCTGTCCACAGTGTGTGGTGGTTAAATCCTGCCCTTGTCTGCAGCCCATGCCACTGGTCTGTTGTAGCTCAAGTTGAGAATGCCATTGGTAGTCTGAGGAAGAGCTGAGTTTCTCTCACCAGGGACTGGACTGTTACATGGAATTGTACCTGATCCCTCCAAATCTTGTGAACCAAATCTGGAAGCCTCAGAAAAACAGTGAGTTACGTTGGACTCTGTAGCATGGGCTGATGGAGCCTCTTAGAGTAGCTGAGTGTGGATGGTGGGTGTCTGGCCTTTGCCACCTGTGGGACTGTCAAGAGACTTTTGGAGATATCAAATAGATTTTGTCTTGAGCTCCTGAGAGATAATGGTGATGAAACAGGGGTTTGACGTCATCCAAGCATCTGATTTTGCTCCCTGCAGGTGTTTAATCCGAAGAACCTCAGACATCCTGTCCAAATACCTGCCGGTGAAGATTGAGCAGGTGGTCTGCTGCAGGTACCAGAAAGCATGAACTCTGCCTGGGAAATGGGAGGAGCAACAGGAAGCACTAGAGAGTTGCAACAAGCCCATCAGTGCTTGCGGTGACTGCTTCCCTCTAGGAATGAGACTGTAGCCATTGGCCGTGTGTTGCTCTTTCTG